GACTGAAAGTAGTCTCGTCGTAGCACAGTAAGGCTGTAGCTTGTCATGCGTTCAGACCGAGGCGTGCATTTTAACATGGCTATGCTGTGCCCTTACACTCTTCAGGCAATTTGGTGTTTTGTGTCTGAGCAGGCATGATGAAAGCAATTCTGAGCTAGTCTCTTTAAGGGTCTTTAAATCTAGAGTTAAATGGTGTATGTCTTGCCTTTTAACTACATGGGCCTTCATTTCAGAATTTGAGTTCAAAACTGGAGACCATTTCATTCTTTCTCTGTGACACTCACTGCAGTTCCCCCTCCACCCGCCCTTCCTCATATTTAATTTTATAGTTCTTTCAGACATAAACATGAAAAAAAAGCAATTTTGACTTAGTTTCTGAGTGTTGCTGCAAAGAAAAGTAACAAACATCTGTTTTTACCTTAACTGCATCCATATGTTCAACCTCCCCATCACCCTCCTTCCCAAAAAATTTACAGCCGTATTTGGTGGGTACTGCATACTGTTGAATTAACTTTCTTCACAGTTAGATTAGGGGGTAAATTCAGAGAATAAAAATATCTGTACTAAGCAGTGGCCAAAAGCTACATTATAGCTAAGCCAATTTTTCAGGTTTTCACTCTTCCTCTTTTAATTTACTTCCCTACTCCCCTTCCCACCCCCCGACTTGTGAAATTTGCTTATGGCTTTCATAGTTACCAATTAATTAACATTTTAAATACCATGTTTATCATATAAGTATGTGGTTTGAGATGCATGCTGTGTGGATTATTGTAAAGGGTTAGTTACCTTGTTTCATTTTACTACCTCTTGTTGGAGCATCTGGAACAATTCTGGCCTTACCAAAGTTTTGTTTTTGTAGAGGATTAACAGGAAGAAGGCTATTTTACTGAGACACTCGAGAAGCAGTGAAACAAAATGTTGAATGATACTATGTTTTACTTTATCGTATGCAGCCTACTTTCAGAGATAAGAGTTTGTGGAACTAATGATGTCTTTCAAACAAAGGTTATTCCTTTCCAGTTATATAGTGCTTTTAACAGATGTGAAACTACTTGTGCAAATTTCCTAAATATTTCTACCTACTATAATCGAAATGGTTGTATGCTCCCGAGGGATTCAGCAGTGTGAGAACAGATGCCCTTCCTTTGCCACTAGAAGAAGCTGACTGTCTCTTAGTAATACCAATTAATGTTAGTAATAAATTTTTCAAAAAAATTAAGTTAGAAGCTGGACTATAATTTGTTTGAAAGTGAGTTGTTGACTTTTTGACTGATTGTCATTTTACTGTGTGTATTCTCAGGTAAGTGCTAGGTTGTTTTCTTCAAAGGAGATATTAATTATCTCTCTGAGGAAAAGATTCCCTACTCCTAGCTGATTTTCTTTGACAGGCTGAACAAAAGTCTGAGTGACATCTGGTGGCTAAAATGCCCCGTATTTCTCTTTCTATTCTTATGTAAATTGAAAGAATGGGGATTGATTCTAGCTCCACCATCACATATTTCTACTGACAGAGGGAGGTCATCTTGCATCCTTCTGTATGTGATCCTTCTGACTGAGACATCATCAGAACATGGAGTTGACATCTGGATTGACTTCGAATACAATCTGGGAAAAGGGCGGTCATAATTAAGAAATGTTGAAGCTAAATAAAGAAACCTTTACTTTTTTTTCTTGGTAGTTAAAAGGAATGCAAAAGGTTTTTATGCTGAAGTCTAGCCACTATGTCTAGACATAACTGACCAAGTGTTGTTGCCTTTAGTCACTTTTGAAAATTTCTTTTGGAACTCTGAAGACTTCAGTGAAGAGGACATATAGATACCTATATTTGTGCCTTTGCTCTCATGTACAATTTTTATGTTTGATGAAACCTTGTTGTCTGTGGTAGGACGTGATCTGAATGTAAATTTTTCCCAGCTCTATTGGCTAAAAGGGAAAGACTGTGTCAGGAGACTATTGTAATCCTGGAAATGTAGGCTCTCGTGTTTTTTGGAAGGACCAGATGGAACCTAACGAGTCTAAAAGGCTTGTTTGTGCTGGAACTGTAAATCCCAAACTCAAGCTAGATCATAAACATGGATGTAGAAACTCTCTGTTAAAGACTGAAAACGGAGAATTTGTGGTCCTCTAAGGCAGGATTTGGCAAAATCATTGTCCCATTGGTAATCAGTTTCACCAGTTCTGACAGAACACTATGTGAAAACAGACAATGATTATCTACTTGTTTGTTGAGCAGAATATTTTATACTTGGTTTTAATATCCCAGAGAGATTATTTTCTGCACTGAGGGTGGGTGGGAGACAAATAGCTGTTCTGCTGCTGCTGTTGTGTGGTCTAGGAGTGTGATAATGATGACCATCATGTATGTGAGTGAGCAGTGGAATCATAACTCTGTCTCTTCCAGTTTTTGTGTTGCTGGAAGGTGACGGGTTCCTCTGAGATCTGAACTGTGGAAAATAGCGTTCTGACTGCTGATCTTTCCTTGATGGAAGTAATTATAACATCTGATTTTTGTTCTACATCAGTTTGGGCTCTTGCTATGATTAATGTAGGTGAAGTATTTGAAACGCTCTGCATCAGTATATGGTGTCTTGTGTTTAATTTTCCCTTTCGTAGTACTGAGACTATGTAAGAGAGTATAGTTTGTAGGAGTAGCATTGGAAATTAAAGGACATACCTGATTTCATGGGTAAGACAAAATTCTGACTCCCTTTAAATGCTGAACGTGAGCTATTTTGGAATGAAATTTTCTATATTGATCATAAGTCAATATAGAGGGAAGTTAACAAGTCTGAAGCTTACTATTTCCTCATTTTATCTATTCTGTTTTCTGCTCTAAAAGAAATACATGGGAGTTGTACTTCAAGAATATTTTATGAATTTTGAATAATATATTGGATATATATTTTATAGGAAATAAATAGTAGATCCTATAGACTGTAGATTTGCCCTAAAGATTTTAACAGGCACAGAATAACTGACATCCAGGACTGTCTGCGTTCTGCTTCTCCTATGTTCTTCTAGCTCTGTTCTCAATGCAACACAGAATTCCAATCTGCTAGTAGAAATGTTCCACTCAATCTGCAAGTAAATGTAGGCAAATCTTTTTAATCTGGATGTTTTGAAACCAGCAGCTTTTTATGGAGAGGGTAGAGCTGCTGATCAGTATGCTGTTTCTTTGTTAATGCCTCATGTCTTAAGGGACCTCAGATCCTTTGCCCTTGTGATTCCCTTGATATCCTGAGTCCCAAAAACCCAGATTTGAATTTTAATGTGGCATGTTTTATCACTAGGAAGGGGACTCTGATGGTCTTACTGAATGTTAGTGTTTCACAGACCTGATATTGCTGTTCCTCAGAAAGTATGCATTGAATCACAGTGTTTGTATGTCAGATTTCAGCCAGCTTTTCAATAAACTTACTTATTCACTAGTTCTTTGAAGTTTAAGGTGATTCCCAGAGTAGGTAAGAGTGTTAGAATCTGTCCATTGAGTAATTGCAACTCCTATTCCGGTGAGTTCAGATTTTTGAAAAGCCCTGCCAAATGTAGTAAGGTCAAATGCTTTGGATGGCATGTTTCCTAACAGAGGATGATTATTTTTTGATGATCTTAAGGCCTCAGGTGCATTCTACTTTTAGCTTTCTTATTTCTGTAACAGGACAACATGTGTGTCCTAGTAATAGTCTTTATAATTATTATTATAGTTGTTTGTAAGAATAAGATCAACAAAAGTATTATTCTATTATCTCAAAGATTTTAATAGGTGGCTAAAATAGAATAGGAAATATAAGTGTAAGGAGCCTCAGAAGGTATGTTGAGCCATGAAAAAGAAGCAGCTCTGAGAGAAAAACATGATGTTCTAATAGCTAAAAAGTGACTAGTGGTTTTGTGTTTTAGCATTCAAGCATTCCATTAAAAACACTTTTTGAAAGGCCTGATTTTCAGGACCTCTTTTGAAAGCAGGACTTGCTAATGCCTCACGTTAGGTACTCAGCATCACCAGACGCTTTTCAGAGTGTAGGGCTCAATGCACCATGCAACAGCGAAACTGAAATATGGGCCCATATACAATCTGTAAGCCCACAGCAAATGCAAAGTAAATTTAGTTTAGCTCACAATGAAAGAGATTTAATCTAAGATGAATGATTTAAGATTTAGTATTAGCCTTTTTCTGTGCATAGTGCATGGGCCTGGCTGACAAGAAATAATTTGTTGAATTTTGGCTGCTTGATTTTATCTTTAAGCCAGTGGGCCAATAGGTGGCAACAGGGAAAACTAGTAGGACATGCCTAGGCAAGAGGTGTAAGTTCACACGTTTCAGAATAATTATTTTTAAGAAATCACTAAGCATGAGATGGCATTTTTATGTATGCCCTATTAAAAAAGTGATAAAGCATCTTGCTGAAGATACAGAAAAACTTTTTTTAAAAAAATCTGTTGCATTATATCTTCATGTTCTCCTTCAGCTGCATTTAATATTAGTCTTGCTGTCAGTAGTTCGATGCATCCTAAGGTTGTTTGCTTTTTTTGAATAAAAATTAAAAGAAGAAAAAAAGCTTGGTGTCGCTTTCGTTGTAGTTACAGCTGTGAAACTAAGCAATGGAGTTTAAGTAGAAAGTAGAACACTCTTAATACCTATAGAAACTTTTTAAAAATTAACTTTTGTTTCTGAGTTATGATACAAACAGGATAAGCCAGTGTTAGAAAGGAAAAATGGAGCCAATAAAGAGGGTTTCTGATTATAATAGCTTGTTTCTGTTTAATATCATTGAGCAGGATGAGGTTTTGCAGAGTTTCTCATGGAAATAGCATCCACAGTACTAAAATGATTACCTCATTCTTAGTACCAGTGCCAAGCACTTAGCCCCACAGTGAACACACGGGGTTGATTTTCAACATGAAACAAGCCAGAAGCGTAGAATGACATTTTCAGGTGACAGTTATGGTTCTATTGCCTGTAATTAGCACCTCTTAACATGCAAACCTGCCTGTGCCTTTTCCAGGCTGTTGAAGCTCAAATACGAAGTTTTGGACAGACCCCTTCCCAACTGCTCATAGAACCACATCCTCCAAGAAGTTCTGCCATGCAGGTGGTAAGTACCATGTTAACTCTTCGGTGACCTGCCGCTTTATTCTCTTCCTTTGCTATCTTAAAGTTACAGAACTGTCCACTTCGCTTTGCTTCTGTATGGTTGTGGAATTGTGTTATTAAAAACAACAGATGAGTTATGGTTTTGTAGGACTGGGATAGTATGCAGTGCTTAACTATTATTTTATTTATTGCTGAAAGGATCGTATTGGTTTCTAGTACAAACCTTTTTTGTCAGTGTAACCTAAGAACACTTCATCAGTTGATTTTGCGAATACCATACCTGTACAGGTGAGAGCCAGTCATCGTGGAGACGATTTAGTTAATCTTTGGCAGATTCCCCAAGAAGCATGGATTTAGGAGGTGGAACTTCCTTGTCTTTTCCCCCAGGCATAGGTTTTCCCCTAAAACCAGGATTACTAGGAATTCATGAGCTGAAACTTACATAGCAAAGAATGTGACTAAATGTGTTTTGCAGTAAAGCTAGGGTGATAAAATCCAGGCAGTGAGCATTAACATGCTTTCCCTTTTACCTCCAGTTGTGTCTAATATAATTTTATTATACAAACTATTATTTTATTACTGATTACTTTCCATATCATGTTGTGTGCAGTCCTTGGGCCTAAAATATCATTTGTGTTGTCATAGATCCAGAACTAAGTATGTTAAGCGATACTCTGACAAGTGAAGCAAATGGTCTGCTAATTCACAAGTTTTTCAAAAGGTTACATTCCCTTATTGTTAAGAGGGACCTAAAAAGCCCCCATTTTCTTCTTGTATGTTCTCCGAGTTGTACATCCTACTCAAGCAGACTAAGGTTATCAGATTAAAAAAATATCTGAAGTGAAAAAGGTTTTAGAAAAAAGACATGAAAATGTTTCCAAAGGAGCTTACAAGCCTTGTGATGCAGGGGTCTAAGAAGTGTAAACTTTCTTGTCAAATTGAGCTGCTAGCCTTTCTCACATATGTCGTGTGTTGTACATGAGACTTACCCAGCTGACTGTCCCCCCAGCCCCACCAGCCTTTCTCCAGCCAGTGCATACTACACTTCGACAGCTGTGCTGTAGACATGCTCCTGCCCTGGGATCCCACGTACTGGATGGACAGAGCTGATCATGTTGATTTGTGATCTGCAGGCCCATTGCACCTCCCACGTAGTCCCGTGGCTGCAGACTGCTGCAGTGATTGCATGTGCAACCCATGGGGCTCTCTCTTTCAGAAGAGCCCTGTTAACGGGGATGTTGGGGACCCCAAGTGCCCTCATCATACAGCTACACACCACGTGTGTCCGTCATGGTGCCATGCACTAGGTATTTGCCCTAATTTAGAGGGATTTGTTTCAGGAAGAGGAAGAGCTTGAGAAGTTGATTGTTGATGTGTTTGTCAGATCCATTGTTACATAAATAAATTTGATGCCAGGAAGCAGTTTGTGTGGTTTTATCGTAGTATTTTTCATTATGCTGAATTAGTAAAGATTTAGTATGTAATGGGAGAAGTTTAATTCTATGAAGTTAACTGTTTTTAACTCCTGTGGTTTTTTTGTGCTGAGATACACACAGGAAAAAGCCCCTTAGTTCTTCACTTGCTTTGATGAGTTTTGTGGTTACTAGTACATGATTTTATAATAGCTCTGTATTAACTGGTTTTAAGAGTAGTATTCCTGGAGCTGAAATACAGTAAGAATGTTTTTCCTGTCACAATTTTGAATCATTGCTAGTCGTATCATTTACTGAGTTTTCTGTTTTCATGTGTGTGTGCATGTATGCATGAATACAGCCGAATGGAAAGCTACCACGTGCTGTGTTAAGTGCACAAGCCATAATATACACCAGGTGTGGTAATTAGCAGTCACATGAAGGCTGCCTATTTGTCTGGTTTTGCTGCTGTTGCTGTATCCCCTTGTGTTTTCAACCATCAGATAGCTGGATTTAATTGAGGCCACATCAGATGAGGCATTACTGACACCTTTAATTGAATGAGCATCCAGGGAGGATTAACTCATAATATTGATTGGCTTTTAGCCACTTGCTCAGAAGGGTGTCTGGGTAGCTTATTAGTTGCTTTTATTTACACCTTTATGCAAAGACTGTAAATAGGAATTCATAGAGCAATATGTTTCTCTAAGTACTCTTAATAACTTTTTAAAAAGGAGTGATAATAAAAATGCAAATGTGTTTAATTTTTTTATTAGTTCTGTATAAATATACATTAAATGTATGCACTTACATACACCTATATGTAATGAAATATTGCAGGTGGAAAATAGCCAAGAACACTTCATTAGTGTTCTAATTCAGTTATTAGAAAATTACAAATACTAGAGCAATATGGCTACTAGTGACTAAGATGGTTGTATTTCAGCATCTCAATGGAGTTCTCTTTTTTTAGGTATACCACACAATCACAAACGCATTACATTTTGCTTTTCCTTCTTAAGTCTGATATCCAGATTGAAGGTCCCCAATATTTTAACGTTTGCAGAATTGCTAGAGAGCTTAGTTAAAAAGTTATTAAACTTTTCAACTTATTAAATTAAAAAACTAAAACCTAAAAATATTATGTTGAAAATGAGAGTCTGGATTCATTCCCTCCCTTTCCTATTTCTAGAAACAACACAGGATAGTGTCTGTAATCACGTCCACTTTATATTCTTTACAACTGCGTTTAATTATGTTTGTCCTTTGAAACACATTTGCAGCAAAGTCTACTTTGCATTCATAAATCTTATTTTTGTACACCAGAAATATATACAGAACATATATCTAGTGTATGTGTGTATCTGTTTATTTTAATGTGCTTTCATGTTCTCATCTGGCTTGTAAAGAATTGCAGTCTGCCAATTTAATGCAACTTGAGACAATCTCTGGGAGCAGGAATTTCTTTTGCTCACTTTTTTTTTTTGTGTCTGTGTGTTCCTTCCTAGTTTGGCATTGCTTTCCTTGACATACTATCTATGCAGATATGAAGGAGAATTCTTTTGGCAGAGATAGGCGATAGAAAATTTTTAGTTTAATCTGCTGTGATCTGTAGCGAAGTTTGTATATAGATACCCTGTGTTCAACAAGGCCCTGAAATTAACTGTGTACCTGAAGATTTTTCTACCTAAAGTGGTTGTTTCCACAGGTCTGTCCACTAATACTGCATTTGCTTTTCACTGCAGCTGCTATTGGATCTTGTGTGTTTTAATCCAGTCTTCCTTCTCTTGTCCTGTCTTTTCTCCTCCCTGTGTTTTCTTTTCCTGTGTATTTGGGTTCTTGTTGTGTGCACTCAACAGTATCTCCTCCTGCAGAGCCCGTTGATGTTCACAGACCAAGCTCAACAGGATGTTATCATGGTTCTAAAGTTCCCATCCAACTCCCCTGTCACTCATGTAGCAGCCAACACCCAGCCTGGTCTGGCCACTGCTGCTGTGATCACAGTTACTGCAAATAGGCTATTTGCTGTAAACAAGTGGCATAATCTTCCTGGTAAGTAGATTAAGTCAGTAGCTTAAGAAAGCACTTCCATCAAGCAGTACTTCTGTTGTCTGTTTCAAAACTTGCTGCAGAACTGTTTAAAATTTATAGTGTGAAGAGCAAGTCCAGTTCATTGACACAGCATGCTCTTCACAGGTGGACTTAGGTTTTCCTTAAAAAAAATTAATCTGTACTATTGTGTAGTAAAATGTGTAGCACACAAAAAGGTTTGTAAAAACAATATATTGCTTTCCAGCCCATCAGGCACTATGCAAGAAGACAAAACCAGTTATCTCACTATTTGATCATGATAAAGTCACACTCTTCCTCTTGCATTTGTTTTTCAGTCAGATGGAAGCCTGAACTATATCACGTGAAAGACAAGTTTTAAAGGATGTAGAACTTGCCTGAAGTCTTTTCTGCTATCTCTTTCTAATTGATTATGAATACCATGTTCTGATGTTAAAGCCACTCAGTGAGAATTAGGAGATAAAATATATGGGAAGTCTGTATTTCCTGTAACTTAAACATCCCAAAGTTATTAGGTGTTTATGTATTTGTTAATTTAAAGGAAAACAACATATCCATTTGCATAGCAACTGATCAAATTAGTTTTCCTTTAAAAATGTGTTGGACTTGAGAATATAGTAATTCTGTTTTCAATTCTAATGTTCTCTAATCTTAAAAGCACTCATCCTCCTTTCCCTGACTATGATAGTCTCAGGCCCAAGCCATGAAAGGTAGTGTATTTCAGTGCTGTGTGGTAAATCTGGTCAAAGGCTTTTCCAGAAAGGGAAGAAAGAGCTTCTACTCAAATAACTTAAACAGAATATATTTGCACCAGGGTAATACTCACATCACTGAAATTCCTACTAAGAAATCTGTGCCTATGGTCCTTGATTACATTTTGAAAAAGTCAGATGACTCCCATGCTTTTTCCTAATTCTTACAAATTACCTCTCAACATTGTACAATAGAAACATCTATGTATTATTTCACCCACCCAAGTAATGCTTAAAAAGAAAGGTGGGAAGCAAGGGGGGAAGGCAGGCTTGTCTAGATAACGAGTTGTGAGCACGAACTATTTACAGGGCTCTTGAGATTTGTTTGAAGGGAGGATGGCAATATCCTCCCATACCTTGGATGTGTGACCTTGGGTGTATAATATTCAAGGCTTTTAAAAAATAGCTTTTGTGGGCATACAACAGTTGTGGGAAAAGAAGAGGTTCTAAAGGGGTAGGAATTAATTTTTATTTCCTCGTAAGTCTGCTGGATGGTGATCTGTGAGGAAGCAACCAATTGTTGCATGTAATAATCAACTGTTTTGAATTAAACAAAACCTTCAGATTTTGGTTTTTCTCTCACCTCTGAAAGGGAGAACAGTGAGCTCTGCTTTGAGTCACTATTTTTTCATTTATAGACATTTTACATTTGTCTTGCCTTTACAAAGACCTCAAGACAAACAAAAGCCAACCAAACAAAAACAAAACCCAACAAAAATGTACCTCCCTTCATGTCTTCGAGAGCACACTGATCAGCTGTAGGCTGTGAATGGATTACTATGCTTAAGATACCTGGGTATGGGCCCTGAGACTAGCCTTCACTGTTATTGTCTTCCGATTTTATACCAAAATGGGATCTCCTAGGATTAGATGGCAGGTACTATTACTACTCCATATCTCCTGCTGTGGCCTCACCATTGTCTTTACTAATGAGGCATCATGATAAAAAAGTTAAGTTGCCAAGTGACCAGTTGTCACTGATGTGTAATTAAAAATCTCATTCCTATGTATATGAGTTTGGTGGCTCTGCTGACATCTAATAGCACTGGTACCCGAGAGGGTGCCTCCATTTTGTCACGTGGATTCTGTATTTTGGTTTGTGTTAGTGTTCCATTGCAGCAGAACTTCAGCTTCACAATTAATTACGAAACCCTTGTATTGATACTAATTTTTATATTAAGCTGTGGACAGTAGATAGAAAAATCATAGGTTTAAGTATTCAGCCATTATTTTTTGTTCTGCTGCCAAGAATGTCTTGTGGGCAGTCTGGGGAGGGGAGGGAGACTGTGGGGAAAAAAAAAGATGCTTTTTTTTAAAAAAAAAACACAGAAGAAAAATTCAGGAGCTAAATATTTCACCGGTACACCACGTGCCCAGATAAAATGTTAGTCAGCAGAATTATATATCAACTTCTGTGCAAATTTGCAAATAAATGTTTTTTGGTGATGGATGAATCCTTAAATAGTGGATGACTATGAGACTTCCCTGTCTGCATCATAAACTGCCTTTTTAAAAAAAATGTCCTTTGTGCTTCACTTGTTCAAAGCAGTGCTTTAAAAAGTAAAGAGGAAAATAGTATTTGCTACAGTCAGCAGATGGTTGTCACATTTTGTTTTCAGTGCTCTTTACCACTTAATTTTGTTTTGTTGCGACAGGAGAGTTTGCCAGTAAAGCATCTGCTAGAGCTTATGGCTCAGGACTGAAGCTGCTGCTGATGGCATACATTCAGAATAGCACTAATCTAAAATAAATGTTTAATAAGCAGCCCACAAAAGCACCTGGATTTTTTTTTTTTAAATTCAGTTGATGCAGAAGAATCTTGAATGGTTAAAAAAAAGGATATAGCTTTGATTTATAAAATGTATTTGGTTTCACATATTAAAAAAAATGCAGAGTTTTAAAATCTTCTTTCCTGAATTCCAGCTCATCAAGGTGCTGTACAAGACCAGCCTTACCAGCTGCCAGTGGAAATCGATCCTCTCATAGGTCTGTCACTTCCTTCTCTCTTTGCGATTCATTAAGCTCTGTATGGTGGCCCTGAAGTGTAGATTACGGTTGTTTTTCACTTGCTGGTTGCTGGGAATGGAATTTTCCTGATAAACCATTTGCATGCAAATTGGAATGCAATGAGCTGTGGCTATGCTGGTATTTCATCAACTCCCCCTCGTTGGTTTGCCTAATTTGAACAGGCCTAGGACGCGTGTCAGTGAAAATTAATATGGATGCTGTAATAATGTGTGATTGAGAATGTGCATGAAGTACTGTCAGGATAATATTGGATCTTTTCATCACTCAGACTTGTTGATGAGCAGGAGCGAGGCACGTTATGATGAATTGGTGCACTGGTAATGTGATGGAGCTCCTTTGCTGAGGAAATTTTCATAATAACAGTGGGGTTCTTAACTGCACCGTGTTGTGAAAAATAAAACCATGGTGCCAGGGTTTCATCATTAAAGGAGATCAATCCTTTCTTCCTAGACCTGCTGTTCAGGCTGAGGGGATTAATGTGTTATTGCAAAGTGGTTTCAAAGTTGAAATATATTGCCCACTCCGTCTTGGTATTGAGATATTAGTATTCATTTTTCAAGGGTATTACATCTTTTGAACAGCATTACTAGTTAAATTTGTTTATGTTTTTCTTTTATTAAAAAGGGGTGGAGGAATGTCTGTGGCTTAATGACTCGGTGTAATAGATTCATTCATGACTTTTTATTATAGAGGTTTATTATTAGTCTGTATAGAATGGATTTTTCTATTAGCATGGTTAGAGTTTGGTCATTACAGACCCAACTTTGGGGAGTGCGTACTTGGACTATAATTCAGGAGCCTGTAGTATGGCAAATGGAACCTTAAACATGATCAAAAAAAGAAAAACTCAAACAACCTAACCCCAAAATACAAACTCATTGTCGGACAGTTCACAGGAGCAAAGACAACAGGATTTCCACCCCCCATGTACCCCTCCAATTCTATTAGAGTTGAAACTTAGCTCTCTTTTTTAAACTGTCCATTTCAGGGTGGTAGTTTAAATGAAAAGGAAGTGAAGTGACCAATTATAGAAGCATGGAAAAATCAGAGCAAAAATGAACTTGCCTGGATAGGTTAGAATGACAGGTCTGTCAGCCAGTGAGAATTAATTTCAGAACAAATATGCGTATCACAGTAGGAACTGCATTGTATCGGTCTGTAGTTACAGACTGCTGTTTTGTAGCCATTTTGCTGGGTAAGCTCTATCATAATTATATCAGGAACACTGTGGACATATTAAAATAGAGTTGATAAAATGTTTTTCCAAAGTTTTAAAAATCAATTCCCATCTGAATAATGCAGTGCTTATAATTTATAGTGAGGAAGACGTGTGCTGTAACTCTCTTTTCCTTTCTGAAATAGAATTTATCAAAAAAGTTTGGAGCAGCTTTAAAACCTCTGCTATCAAGTAGATCTTAAAAATATAAATAAATATCACAGCAAAATAACCAAAATCGCATTGGGCCTGTCTGATGATTTTTCTACATATTGTGAAGAACATTGGGAAGGAAATAAAATTTTTATTTTCATTTGCATTTTTCATAATTTTAAAACTATAATTCCATTTTCAGGCATGCCTTTAATTTACAAAATACTTTGACTTTTGTTTGGTATAAACACTTTTAAAATTAATGTTCACAGTTCTGACAGTAGTATAATATCTTCATACAATAGATCTCAAATCAGCCTTGTGATTACATTGAATATAGTTTAAAAGGTTTAAGGCTTTCTTTGTCACTGTTAAGTAGCATCATTGGGTACAAGCAAGTAATTATGTAGATAATATTAAAGGTTTTTAATTGTGGCTAGACACATTTACCTAGAAATGGCACCTAAGAGGACCACAAAATTACACTTTTATGGTTATAGCAGGAATCTTGTTGCTGTCTTAGTCATGAGGAGGGATTCCCGCTGTCCTCATTTTCCAGTTGCACGGGAAGATGTAAAACAACATTCTGATGTGACATAGGTTCTAGACCTCTTTTTGAGGTGAAGTTTTTTGAAGGTCTTACCCACACTGAACATGTTGATCTGCATGTTTTTGGGGGATTTATTTGCCATTATTTTGTCATACAGAACGCTTCACTGTGCATTTATAATGTGTTGTTGTTACTCTTTAAATGGTCTCAACAGTGGTTAAGGCCCTGTTATGTGTTACTTGCAGAGCAAGCGGCAATACCGTGCTAAATTATTTGCTACCTCTATGGACAAGACAGCATCAACGTTTTAAACGTAGCGAAAGCATAAATAAATTAAGGATTTGATACAGAGTAAGTAGAGTAAACCCAAGCTTAGGGGATAGCTAGCTCTTGAGAATGTCAAGAACAGAGTAAAGATGAGCACAAGACCAGGACAGAGACAGGTCTGGAGGACCACCTGGAATGGAAGTAATGGTGCTCTGAGCAGTTGGCAGACAAACCCAGGCCCAGAACTTACTTGCCTGGGATGGGAGTCAGATTCCCTTGGGAACAAAGCACATTAAAAGTTCTTCCTACAGTGTAGGAATTTCATGATGCATATTTATAGGGACTCATGTACATACATATAAATGTACACACACACATCAGTTAATAAGGACAAAATGTAAAATGTGTTAATCAACTGATTCCTGTCCATTCTGTGAGTTCACAATGCAAGATTATCTGGGGAAGTAAAACAGCAGGTGATCAGAGTAAGGTAAAAATTTTCATTCAACCCTAAAGGAGATTGTGGAGATAAGCTGGTTAATTTTCGTATGATGCTCAAAAAAAAAAGTGAAATGTCAGCAATGTTTACTGCAGTTATTCTTTTTTTTTAAATTACAATGTTTGCAATGAAATACAACTTGTGAACAATTTTGAAATCATAATTCTGTTTTCTGCTGCATTTGAGACACTATCTAGCGTATATGTGTATATACTGTCTTATAATTACATTCCCTTAATTTGTTTCTTAATTTTTAATTTCCTATACTAGAAGAAGAGGGGAAGGAAGTTTATTACATTTTTATGTATCATTGCTTTTTTGCAATCTTTCATTTATATTTGTCAGCTGCATTTGACTTAAAAAAGGGATTTCTTCTGTTTTAGAATATATACTACAAGGAATTAGGATTGTTCCCAGAAGCGTAATGTGTATTTTGTAGTAAAAGTAGAAGCAAAATGTCCCTACCACAAAAAACAAGTAACAGCAGTGAGGAATAGTTTTGGTGTGAATGTAAATTTCTAAAATGTGCTTTTGTTCTGTGAATGTGGATGCTAAAATTTCTTGATTTGTGTGTCTTTGTGTTCAGCCAGCAATACAGGTATGCACAGAAGGCAAATCACTGACCTTTTAGACCAAAGCATTCAGGTACATTCCCAGTGTTTTGTCATCACTTCTGATAATCGTTACATCTTGGTCTGTGGCTTCTGGGACAAGAGTTTCCGAGTTTATTCTACCGACTCAGGTAATGTATTTTTTAAATATGGGAATAGCCTAAAAGATTTTTCTGTTCATCGTCAGCCTACTGTTTCAAATAAAGAAAGAATGGGGAGCGGGGGGAGAAAGTGGAGTACGTATTTATTCCCCTACTAATAATATTTGTCAAATATTTTCTTACCTACTGCTACTGTGGCCTACTGATGTATGCTATCAGTTTTGTGGAATGATGGCAAATGTAAGACAAGGAGCTGTTGTTTAGCCATAGCATCACACTTCAAATCTGTATGACAGGCATGCCTGTTCTTACACTGTAGTTTCCACAAGTAAATGAGTTTTTGTGAAGCTTTGCATACCAGGAGAATTAATTGTTCTTAGAGTGCTTACTTGAATTTAACTCTGGTGGGTTTTCAGCACCAGAGAAATTTTTTTTATGAAACACAGGCAAGCACCACAGAATAAGGACAGAAGTGGAATCTTGAAATCTGGTGAAAGAATACTTAGGAAAGCCTTTGAAAGCTGTGCTATAATAGAAAAATTGATTTGGAGCCACTGTATTTTTTCATGAAACATAAACTGATCGACATAATGGGCAGCAGTTAAATTAGTCTGTCGGCTGGCATGTATCCAAACTGCTGAAGTCATGCATGTGTCATGCTAAATAGAAAAGCATCTTTCAGTGTAAGAGCTACAGGAATTTAAAAGCCATGGAGCCCCAGAAAAATATAGGTATGATTTTTTCCCTTTCATTATCTTATAAGGGGAATAGCGACCTCACTGCAAGGTACTTCTTTGGGATTAATGACCCAGTGTGGTTAATGTTTGTGTGCCATCAAGCTTTCCAGTAGGTTATTAATCCCTAGGGAATATCCTACATGTTTGTCATTATTTCTTAAATATATTAGTTAAAAGTGTTTTTCACACTTGGCAAACCTAAATGTTTAACATAACAGGATGGTCTTTAATGAAATCTGTTAAGACTAGATCTCATGGCATATTTTAGCATATCTGTCATTTTTGCAGTTATAAAGCCTTAAGTATAAAGGAGTAGTTCCATTTAGTTCATATGGACTGACTACAATTCATTATACAGACATCTTGTTAGACCCTTCTTAGTTTAATTTTCTCATTGATGAAAATAAATTTACATGAAACAGAATTTAAAGGCGATCTTCAGAAAAGTTAGCTAGCAATAATACATATTCAGTGTATATGAATAGAGAACTAATTATTTTATGTCAAAGGATATATTTTACTTTACATCTATGTAAGGAACTTGTATGATTTTGGTAGCTTTGTCCTTTATCACTCTGAACTACAAATACCTCATTAAGTTATGTCCTCTGTGTGTGAGTCAGATACACCAGGTATCTCATTACTACCATACCTAATTATGGTATAAACCAAAATACAGTTGTCAAAAAAGTGGCAGGAGATTTGTGTCTTGTGTGTGTCTTCTGTGTGTCAATATAACAACTCTAGCTCTAGCTTAAATCAAATGAATTCAGATGTAGTTTATTTTGCTTTGAATTAAAATGAGAATATAATAGTGAAATACTTACTATGAAATCAGCAGAACAGCAAGGGAAAAAGATGATGTGATCAGTAAGGTATAATGGCAAGTGATCACAAGTGTTGAATTCATTTGTATTTTAGCACTTACACAAAAAGGGAACCTTTTTCCTATTAGCTTTTGAGTTTGTTTGGGGTTTTTTTAACAGGAAATACTTTTAACAAATCATGGGTTCTCAGAACAGCTAATATAGCAGAAGCACAATAAAACCTTCCTCCAACAGTGGGAATGATTTCTAGATTCAGTAGTGCAGACATTTGAGTCTTATTTTTCTTTTAATTATTCATAGCACAGCTGTCAAATAAAACATTAACTAGAAAATTTGTTCTGTCAAAAAGGGATATCAAAGTGCATATGGTAAAGTTTGATATTACTGTGTAGAGAGGACAACTCATATTAAAGGAAACAACCAAAAAAGTTGAGGAGCTCTTATGAGATTAATGATTTTTTTTTTTTTTTACTAATATGAAAGAGGAGAAGCTTATTTCTTGTTTTGATGGAATTGATTGAACCTTAGCTGCACAGTAACAAAGTAAAACTAACAAGGCAGTGCAACTGCACAAACAACTGTCAAACAAATAGCCTTGAAAAATGTTTGTTTTCTGGAACAGAACCTATAAACATAGAGTATAATTGAGAGATCTCTATAACTCAGCAATGTTTATGGCATAAACTTGTGTTCTAAAAGTATAAATCACTTCAGGTAGTTGAATACTTACAGCTATACAACTGAAAAAATATATCACATAATTAAATTATTCTCAAATCTAAACCATGTAATTGACTACTTGCATTTTCAGGGAAAAACATACATTGGGTAAGATGTTTTTGAATGTCGCCAGAATGAGGTTATGTAGCCTGTGTGTGTTTCACTGCTCCTAACTGTGAAGTTCAGTAACTTTTTCTGATGAAACTGGTTGACTGGTCAGCATCTGAGATAGTTAAGTGATCCTGTGGCACAAATTAAAGCTCTGGTATGCAGAGCTGACTGCTATAGAACGCTATTACAGACTCACAGAGATGAGTGAAAGACTTGATCCCTGAGTTACTCTCCTTTCTGATGATACAAGGGAGATCTGCACAGTAAGTGTACCTTCCAGGGTTTTGCCCCTTCCACTCAGAAGAGCCTCATGGGATAGTGCTTCATTTCACAATTTCTCTTGGAGGATTATACTTGCCTAATAAGTTTTATCAGTGTTTTATTTTAAATCCAATGTACAGGTTTCCTTTAAATTGCATCATGTTATTCTATTTTTTTTTTTTCTTCATGTACTAATGTAATTCTTTCCCTTTTTTGGAGATATTCATACATTTCTCTCTTTTTTTTTTTTTTTCCCTAGCTTTCTCCACTTTATTGCAATTACCTTTTTGATCTTCTGTTATAAATTAGGCTGTTAACATTGGTTTTGATCTTTCCTCAGAACCACTCCCTTAAGTCTTTTGGTACTGTTAGTGTTATTTAGAGGCTGGATATTAATACAGTGCCTTCGTACTGTGTAGAGCAAGGGCTATGAAATGTCATACTAGCTATAGTATACAATTGGCTAATAGTTTTTAATTCATGCACCAAACTATTTTATTAAGAGTTGCTTAATTTGAGTCCCAACACCGATTTGTGTTACTACTTTTCATGTTACTAGTTATTATTTTTAAACAGTTTTCAGAACATTTTATTTCAGGTACAGTAGTTTGCACTTCCTATTTATTTTTTGACCTGGTTTTTTAATCCTTCCAAAGCCATCATTCTTTTTTCCTTCTGTTTTTTCTTCATTCTTTATTCAGCCCAAAGCACAAATGAATGCATGGTCATTTAGGCTGATGAATCTGAGGTCACACGTTGATGACATGACACATCACACTTCCTTGTGTCGTTGGATGCAGGATCTGACCTGGCTGGTTTTACCTGAATGGGCCCAGGAGGCACATAGGAAATCTGTGTGTGTATCTTTGTCCTGTCTCTACAAGATATGCAGTTGCTAGGCTTCAGCAAATCCAGTGAGATGGATTTTAGTGCTTACATTCTTAGTTCACAGGATCACATATGCTGCTGGCAGATCCAGAAGCCAGCAGGCCACATGACGTGTTTGCTGTGTAGGAGCCAGCCTCTGGCAGGGCGGTCTAGCAGAGATCTACTGTGGGTGTGTGTTTCTTCTCCCATATGCAAATACACTATGCATGAGCATCCACTTTTACATTTTTCTGAAAATATTGTCCTCTCTAGTTAAGGCTAAAAGGTAATAGTCATATTGATGTTTATACAGACTTGAATGGCCCATTTCTAACTGCCCAGGATTTCATTTCTTTTGCCATTTATGTCTCTCATCACTGGTACAACTGTTTGTCCTATATGCAATAGGTAAGAGAGTTTTTTTCCAGGTCTGTCTTCTGAGTTTTTTTGAACATTACAGAAATTCTTAAAAGGGAAGGATGCCAGCTGTAAAAATGTGGTTACAAGAGTAATTCTTCATCTAAATCTCCTTTTCTCTGTGGAAGGAGATGCTCAAAAGCTGCATATGCTATATGCACATATATGCTCCCACACTACCAATTTCTTCTGAGTCCTAAATGTTCTGTAGCTTCTTCTGATTCTTTTTCCCACATCATCATCAGATTAACATTTTTGCTGTTACTTTCTTCGATAAATTTCCCTTAAACTTGCCTTGAAAGAGAATCCCATCATGTTTGCTGTCTGTAAGGTGAATGTAAACATATAGAGTTAAAACTGGCCTTTCAATAAAGTTGGAATAAAGTTCAATAAAGTTATTTATGGACTGTAAATATTTTTGTATGGACTGTACAGACTGCTGCACTTTTAGATAAGTTTCCACCATATCAAGAAAAAGAAAACAGTACTCTCCACTATAGTTATTTTTGGAAACTTTTTTAAATAAAGAAAATATTTCTAAAATATTTTATATTGTATTTAATTTGCCATAGAAAGAATAAAAGCGTAGTTTCAAAACAATCAATTTTATGTGTTTCAGGTAAACTGATACAAGTAATATTTGGACATTGGGATGTTGTAACCTGTCTTGCTCGTTCTGAGTCCTATATTGGAGGAAATTGTTACATTCTGTCAGGATCACGTGATGCAACTTTGCTGCTCTGGTACTGGAATGGCAAAACCAATACCATTGGTGATAACCCAAGAGGTAAGCAAACCCCCAAAATTTTGTTTTATAAGGACGTTGTCTAAAAATGGCTTGAGTGAACACTTTGCATGACAAAGTTTTAGGTAACATTAATGTCAAAATACAGTGTTTCTATTTTTGTAGTTGTGATCAGTTCTAGTTTAAAGAATTGAGGGTAAACAGTGCTTGCTTTGCAGCACAAGTAGAAGTAATTTTTAAAGTTATAGGATACTGAAAATTACAAATACATTTTTTTATTTTCACTCATTCAGTTGGGAAGGAGTGTCTCCAGAAGTGAGAAGGGAAATAGTTTTTTATATTTCCTGTTCAATCTGAGTAAACCTTTGTCTCTCAACATGATGATTTGATTAAATACCTGCATTTGAGTTGCTTAAAACAAAAAAAGACTGTATATCACTCCAGTGTAGACTGTATTCTGTGCAACTGTAATCTTATGCATATAGGTTCTCACCGCAGTACCTTAGCCATCAAGAGTTATGCAGACACTGAATTTTGACTGAGACTAAAGGCTTTGTAATGAGATGTGTAATGGCCTGAGCAGGACACTTAGGTGAAAGAAGGACAGACGCGTGGGACAGATTAATGAAGCAAGATTAAAACTTTTTTCGTTTAACCCTTTGGTAGGGTACTGTGTGCCTAATCCTCACTCTCATGTACTATGCTTTATAATTGGTTCCAGGACAACCAACAGAGCTCATACCATATAACCAAACTAATAAGTCAGAGTAATCCTGCTTCAGCCTAATTCAGTTTTAACCCTTCACCACCGAAACTCACCTTGCACTTCCCAAAGAATTTAATCTCTTTCATCTTGCACTGTTTCCCAGGAAATCACAGATCTTTTTACTTACGAAGATTCTTTCTTTTAACTCATAATTTTCTCTGGATGAGAATGAAATGCTGTGACTGTTCAATCCTGCTGTGTCTGTATTCTATAACAGGAAAGGTAGAAAGTGATCTTGTTACTATGCCAGTTTCACTGCACACAAAAAATTAATTCCTGATGCCCAAAGCAAAGAAGAAGGCAGACATGCAGCTTGTCAAAAAGCCTGCTCAAGCCAATTCACAGGAGTAAGAGCCTTTCGAGACAGCTGATGAGAGCTTACATATGTGAATGGAGGGGTGCATCATAAGCAAACAGTGGTCCTGTTCTCCATGGTCCTTCTTCCTGTTCAGCCCAAAAGAAAATGCCCTGAAGAGAAGGGCTGAGAAACAGTATATTCTGTCTGTCTTCACAAGTGTATTTGTTAGGTTTTCTGCCATACACTTAAGGTCTTCTCTGACCCTCTTTAATTACTAGTAAAAACATATGTGTTGTCTGCAGAGGACAAAATGGACATCTGGAAAACAGAAAGTATTGTTGTATCTGGCGTACATTGCAGTTATAACTGACATACAGTTTCATATAATGAAATAATATCTGACATCTTCCAAATTAATCAGTTTGCTAAAGTTGTATGTTCCATACTCAATCTGTTACTCAACTGGAGTTATCTGAATTTGAAAAAGAGAAATTGCATCCTGTGAAGTATTTTGAAGAAGCATAACTAATATCAGAATGAGTATCTGAATTTAACTAGCAAGTTATTTGATGTTGACTGTGAAAACTATTCAAAAATTGCATGAGATACAGAGGTTTAGTTCACACAGTTGCAGAATCTTCAGGCAGAGGATGACAGCAAACTAACCACATTATCCTTCCGACAGTCTAATTCAAGAGATGAGAGCTTTTCTGGGATGTGGCTAGCAGAATTTTATGAGCATCTTTAAATAAATATGGCTTTCGTTGAGGGACAAAATATCTGTGAATATTTTATACATATTTTGCAATCTATCAGTTTAAAGAAAATGCAAACTTTGCAATATTTTTGCAGAGCTTCTAAACTTGGAAACTCCAGAAGTCTGTGAAAGGGACTTAAGAACTTAACAGTCAAGGAAGCTCGTAAATCCTAAAGAGCAAAACTGCCCTTTTGAGGAGAAAACCCTAAATATACTGGTGTGAAGCAATGAACATTTGTAGGTGTCTCCTTGTAGTGTTTTCAAGGCTTGCAAGTGCATTCCATCTTTGCAGATTCCTAGGCCTGTCCTGAGAAGTTCTTGTTGAGTATTTGCCAGGCTTGCCTGCTTTGTGAACAAGACCTTGAGGCTATAGGCTGCTTTACAACCTTAACAGATCACATGCTGAGATTTTGTACCTAGTATCTAACTAGAATAGGTAGATTTTGTTATAATCTGTTGACTGTCTTCTGAATGCAAATTTCTAACATATTAAAATTTAGCAGTTTTCAAAGTTAATACTATGATATTTTAACTACTGTTTAAAATAAAACAACAGCTACCTGATAAGTCTCTTTGTCTAAAATCCTATTAAACTTGTACTTTTAGGGACATGCAATGGTTCCTGTGTTTACTAGTTGCCATTATGTAGGGCTTTTTGTGATACAGCATGCCTGGAAGGCTTTGTTAGAAATTGGAATCTCATGGCACTATACATAGGCCTAGACATATGTATAGTAAAAGACAGTTTCTGCTTCAAAGAGATGATAATCTGGGGGCTTTAATTTTTCCCAGAAATAGCTTTCTATAGGCATATCTGTTCAGTCAAATTTCTTTTGAAAAGGCAAATAAAAAGGGCTGTTTCTGCTTAATTCTGATTTTGTCAGAAATGGAAAGCACCAGCAGACTTGTTGGGTTTCGAGCCCTGTTACTGCAACGGTAACTTCCATCCATTTGTGGGATGCTAGATAATTAACTTGTCTGATGTCTTTTTGTATTTGAAACTCATGATTTTTTACCCCAAGATATAGTTTATTCATACTTCCAGTGAGCACTATTCATTGGAATTTTAGATATTCTCAAAAGTAATACTTCTTTCTCATTTTTTTTCTGTATTTAATTATCTCTAATTTCCATCTTAAAACGACTTCACAGCAACATGCATCCAATGACACTGTACCATATCATGATGCAAGAGTAGTTTCAACAAAAATAATCTGAAACAGGAGCATTTATTTCCTCCTTTCATAGTACCTGTTGCCTCTGATATATATCAGTCAGCAGACTAGTATGCTCAAGGTACCCTAAATACTATACCATTGGGCACCCGTTACTCCACCAGTTAAATTTTATTTAGGTTCCTTTATCTGGCTTCATTACTTTAGGAAGCACTGAGCTCTTGATCTCTGGCTGCATATATTCATGTTTTAGAATGGTACTTAACTCAAGCTGACAAGCCAGGTGGGCTATGGCATACGTGATAAATAAATGTTTTGTTTGATATTCTTTATCAAGGACAATTTTCTGGCCAACTGGACTGTATGGAAAAATTCTTTATGTTTTTGGTTTAACAGAAGAAGTATGTTACTGAAATATTCATTATCTACATTCTTTAATTTTTAACTTTTAAGCTGAATTTTTAAAGAAATTACACCTATGCAGTCTCACTGTCTGTTTAGTTTCTCCCTAATAACTCTTGAATGCACAGATCAATATAAACTAAATTTGATGAATTTAAATCTTAAAGATAGGAAATTCCTACATTGGACACATCTGCTGGAAACTATATTCTTCACAAAACAGCTTGATTACATTTAGGTTAAGTCCTTTTTTCCTTCTCAAATTAAAACCTGAAATTAAAAAAATATTTCACCATACTCTTTGATCAAAAGTAAGGTTTTTTTCTTTCTAAATTAATTGGTTTTGAAAATGTAGAAGCATGGCAGTACTTCACTTTGCTAAACAGGCCTTTTCTGATGTAGAAATATTTCTGCAGACAATTTTTGACCAAGCCTGTGAAAATATCAGAACAGAGTAAAGGGTCTGAAATAGTTGTATCTTTTAGAACAGCCCTGATCTATTTTGAGTTCACATTAATTAGTATAATTTACTGTGGATAAGTTACTCTGGATAGCGTAAGGGGCTCTTATTTTTTTCTCCTTGGCAAGTGGCTTGTTTTGGGGAGGGAGAGTAGGAGGGAGAGGATGTAGCCCTCCCATTGGTACTTCTTGAAGCCCATGTGTCTTCTGTATCACAAGACTGACTTTTGCATATGTAGAGGCTCGGATCTAATAGCAAGGTACCACTTGGGGATGTGACATTATGCTTCAGGATTTGTGTTCCTGAATAGGGTGGTGGGATGTGTAGAGGTTACTGGGAGAGGGTGGTGTACCTGCGAAAAGATGATGTGTTTTGCACTTGCCCAGCCTGATGCAATGGAGGTGGAGTGGAGGCGAGAAGTAGGGGGGTGAGGGGAGGAGCCCCATGTGATTGCTCTAGAAAAGAAATGAGATAATTCATTTGCATCACTTTCTGATCTCACCCTCATTTTGAAGCTCAAGTGGCAACTCTTAGTGTTTGGACATTTCCTAGGTTGAGGGATTGCATTTCACTTTGTAATCTCAGAACATAAGAAAGAGCAGGCAGGAGCTTTGGTCACCTGAGCTATTCCCTTTTCCCAAAGAAGGCTTAACTACACCAAAACCATTCTTGACTGATGTTTGTCCAACCTTCTGTTAAAAACGTTGGCAAATATGTTTTTGACCCTTAGAAGCCCTGTCATTAGCAATCTTTTCCCAATTTTCAGCCTAGTATGCAGTTCTTCTTACAGCAGTTGCATTCGACGACACCAAGCTGTGTGGTGCGGTTGA